GCTGTTGCCATAGCAGTGCTCCCCAGGTGGGCGTGCTGGCAACTTGGGCATGGGGATGCAGTTGAAGCCAAAACCACCCCGAAGGCTTCCTGTGAGATGTTAAACACATCTATTAGGAGGGAAAGCAGTGGTGTTCCCCAGGCATTTCTGGTTGAGTTTCAATGTGCTACACAGATTATATCGATTTTAAATGGATGTCATTGCCCTCCAAGCGCTTTAGTCCAGGTCTGCATCTGGTCTTGTCTTTAATTTTGGGGAATTCCCCGAGATGTCTGCATCGGAGCCGATGCCAGCCCTAGCCTGGTTAGCAGGAGAGACGCGAACAGCTTTCCTGGGAAGGTGCCACTGAGGACAGTTAAGGGAAGGAGCACCAGGTTGTGGTGGTCTCCGCTGGGAATCTGGCAGGGGGGTTGCTGGTGCCATAAACGAGCAGATAAGTCAGCGTGAGCTGGTTTAGTCTGTTCACTCTTCCGCTGCCGTGGTAGCACCTATTTGCATTTCAGAAGAGGGCTTTGGTTGATGGCCAGAAGAGAGGGTGGGATTGGGCAGAGGACCTCACTGTAACATCTGTGGGTTTCTGGGGGTTGGTGAAGGCACCCAGGGAGCACAGGCTTCCTGTGAGATGTTAAACACATCTATTAGGAGGGAAAGCAGTGGTGTTCCCCAGGCATTTCTGGTTGAGTTTCAATGTGCTACACAGATTATATCGATTTTAAATTGATGTCATCGCCCTCCAAGCGCTTTAGTCCAGGTCTGCATCTGGTCTTGTCTTTAATTTTGGGGAATTCCCCGAGATGTTGTCAACAACCTTCAGTAGCTTCCCCTCGAGCTCATGTTCCCCCGCAGATGTACTTACCAATGGCAGTGTCACAGGGCAAGGTCTGTCTTTCGGGCTTTATTTCTTTGGCTCTTGCATGTTGCAGGTGGCGGGTTTGTTCCACCACGCCAGCATTGGGAACCCCATCAACATCGCGATAGTGCGACTCATCCTGCTGGAGGACGAAGAGGTAAGAAGAAAACAGGGTGACTCGCCCAGTCCTGGCAGCCGGGCTGGGATGCAGGGGGAGCTGGCCTTGAAAGCCCGTAAGCTCTCTCTCCTGCTGTCTTCATGACCTGGGTGAGTTTGTGCAAGATAAACGCAGGCACCCATGCCTTCCTTGTCTTCCCTGTGGACCGCAGCCCTGGTAACGTCAGGGGGATGGGATGGTCAGAGGGGCTGCAGAGTCTGATTCTTATAATAATTTATGATAGCTCAACATCGCTGCTGGTCATGAGGGGCTGTGGATCACTGGTTGGTTGTGCTCCCAGCTGTGGCGATGGCTCTCGGGGAGCCTGATGCTGCTCAGACAGGCTCCCCAGCTGCGTCCTTCGCCATCAGCCAGGACGGGATGTTTTCCAACAGTGTTTCTTAACTCCCATTACCGGATGATTTAATGTTTTGGTTGAATCACAGATGAAAAGAAAGCACAAAAGGACTGTATTCCCACCCAGCCTACAACCTATAAATATGGAGCAGTTCCATCTGGGTGGCAGTTACACCCGATTCCACTCCAATGTGTCTGAGATCAGACCCCTCCCCACTGCATCCTAAAAAACAAACAACAACAGGCAGCAACAGGACAGCAGACTTTTAATTATCTTGGCAGGAGGATCTGAAAATCTCCCACCACGCAGACAACACCTTGAGAAGCTTTTGCAAATGGCAGAAGAGCATCAACGTTAAAGGAGATTCCCATCCCCTGCATCACGATGTCGCAGTCCTGCTCACAAGGTATTGTCCCCGTGTGCTAAATTTAAGCTGTAGGTACTACGCTGGCAGCTAGAAACACCTCTGCAGGCAGCGGGGCAGCCAGAGGAGCATCTCTGTGGGAGCTGTTGAAATCTCACTGTCCATGCCTGAGCCCTGCCTGGAAACATGCACTTAAGATATGTCACATGAAATCTGAAGATAACCTGGTCCTAATGGCTGGAACTGGTCTCAAATCTCAGGTTTAAACCTGGAGACGGCCCCCAGTTGACTAGCAGTTGAGGTTTCCAAACCAGGTTTTCACCATGGACCTATTGCCAAGCCCCAGAACGGCTGGATCCTCCCAGGAGATGTACACAGGCCTTAACTCTCCTTTTTCCCTTGGAGGCTGATGCTGGGATTGGCAGAGGAGCCTCTGAGAAGGCCCCTGACCTCCCACGAAGCTCGCAGGAATTCATGCCTCTGGCCAAGTTTACCTACCTTGCAGTCAAAATGTAGTTTGATGGTTTCAGGCTGCAGTGACTTGGCTGTTGGCAGTATTGTGGTGGTTTGTGTGATGATTCACAACCCGCAACAGTTTTATCTTCTTTAGGACGTTTGCTTTGTAGCAGAAATAAGGCACTTAAGGCCACGTACTTCAATGGAGTTGTTCTTCCTGGGTGGCTGGAGCTCCTCCGCCCTGGACCACAGCACCCCTGGGATGTACTTCCCCAAGCAACTTAGTAATTGCTTAATTATTCCCAGCATCAGCTTTATACAATGGAGTAAACGTAGCCAGGCTGGCTAGCAGTTCCCATTAATCAGGCTTAATAATAAGCCGGGGATACTGGGAGAGTAAAGGGGAAAGGAAAGGTCATAAATCTTTCCGTTGCCGAAAGACACTGGATGTCTCCATTCTCACTTCTGTTTGGCCAGTGTCCGTGTGTCTTCCTCCGTGGGCTGGGGCGCATCCCGTGCTCCTTCCCACGTCTCGCGTTGGGCCCTGCCGCTTTCAAACTCCCTCTTTGCCCTCTGTCTGTGTGTTTGTTGTCTCCACCACCCAAGGAAGGACATCTGCGCAGCGATGAACAGACCCTGCGAGACCCTGGGTCTGTCCCACGTGGCGGGGATGTGCCAACCCCACAGGAGCTGCAACATCAACGAGGACACGGGACTGCCCCTGGCCTTCACCGTGGCCCACGAGCTCGGACACAGGTACCACCGGCTTCCTCCTCCTCTCCTCTGACCTCTGTCCGCTGCGCTGCTCAGTCAGGGTTGAGAAGGCAGGGTGGAAGTTGGGAGATTGCTGAGCAGTTCTTCACGGTGCCAACCTTCCTTCCTCTGCACCCGTGAGAACTTACCCTGGGAATTTAATTTCAGAGTTAAGTTTTTGGTTGCCCCAGGTTTAATGAAAATCATAATCCAAGGCAACCTGGACAAATTGCATTTGTTTATTATCCTGTGTGGCTGATGCTGAAGGGATTGGAGAAGAGGGTTGCCCATTAAGAAGTTTTAAAATAGGATCTGTGTGTAGAATCAGTGACACAATTTTGCTTGCCCTAATTTCAGTTAAATTTTGACAAGATCACTTGCACATCGTAGTTGATAATAGATATCTGTGTATGGTAAAAACACATACCCAGTATTGACTTGATCTTGTTCGATATTCTCATTACTTTTTTCTTGGCGGAGTTTTCAGTAAGAAAGCTGGAGTAAAAGCATGGGACAAAGTTTGGGGCAGTACCCCTGGTGTCACTAAAATGTCCCACACAGCCAGATCCCCCGGTCCTGTTAATGGCCGAGTCCCCGCGGAGCTGGGATGGTTTGCGATGTCCGGCGTGGCGTGTCGTTGTGCTGGAAGGCAGAGAGGCTGCGCGGTTGTAGCGGCGTGCAGCTCACCTCTCCTTTGTGGGACTGTGCTCTTACACAGTTTTGGGATTCAGCATGATGGAAGCAGCAATGACTGTGAGCCAGTTGGGAAAAGACCTTTCATCATGTCTCCACAGCTCCTGTATGACACGTCCCCACTCACCTGGTCCCGCTGCAGCCGGGAGTACATCACACGATTCCTCGAGTAAGTCCTCCCTTCCTCTTCTTCCTCCCTCGCGGGGGGCTGGGGGTGGTTCGGGGCTTGGGTCTGCAGCCAGGGGCTGACCCAGCCGATTGCGCTCAGAAGTCAGCCCCGGGGCACGTGGGGATGCTTTGATCTCCCTCGGTTGTGTGGGTCCTTGCTGTGAAGGATGGGGTACTGAACACAAAAGCAGCACGAGTGTTTGGGCGGTGGCACAGGGGTTGTGGCTTGAACAAATAGAGCCGGAGGGGTTTTCTTCGATGCTCTGTGCTGTTTTCGTCGGTGCTCCGCACAGGGCAGATGATGTTTGCCTGTAGGCAGGAGGCATCACGTGAAGAAATGGGACTGAGCCAAATTCTTCCATGCATTCGTTTATTTTTAGCGCCTCGTGGCTGATTTTTTCGGCCTGTTGTTACTAAGTTCCTCGGAACACGGCCCAGAGATTTACGCTTGTCAGCCAGTGGCTTGCACTGGAGAAACATTTTCCTTCCTTGCTATGGGAAGGTTAGAAAACAGTGAGAGCATCGGCAAGAAACGGTGATGGGCAGAGCTGGGCGAGGGACCGGCAGCTCCATGGCGGGGAGGCTGCCTCGGGCTGAGCTCCCATTTTTAAATCCCAGCCTGGAACATGTGGGCTTGGCCCTCATGCAGGGTGGATTATTGTTAATTTATGGTTTTCGGTGGAATGGAGCTTTCTTGTATCTGCAGTGTTCTTGGCCCTCTGCTTTTAACCTTCACTTTTGGATTAAGAATTTCCTGCTTGCAATGACCTTGGGCTGCTCTGAGCTGCGACGGGGAAGAAGCAGAGCAGCTGGATGCTTCTGCAGTTGGGTTTTGGTCTCTTTGCTCCCCCAGAAGGAGCAGCTCTTCCTTAAGAGCAGAGCAGAGCCCGGCAGGCGTCTTTCACCAGCTGCGACATCCCTCAGGCAAGGGAGAGGCCCATTGCCAGCACAAACATAAGTGCGTTATAATACGATGTCGGCAGGAGAACGGGAAGGAGTGAGCCAGAAAATGAGACCCTGCTGACCTGGGGTTGCTGGATGTGCTTGGAACAGACCTCGCGTTTGGAAAAAAAAAAATCACTCTCAGATGATGATTACTATTTTACAAAAGATTATTATTTTACAAGCACTGCCAAACATTTAAGGATCTGAAAATTAATCCTGTCATCAGCAGCAATGCGACCCCGGTGTTGCGGTCAGGCCCTCGGTACAGCCAGGGCCGGGTGACCCTCTTGGTTGAGGCTGTGGGTCGGGGTCCGCTCGGACACCCAGGGGCGATGGAAGAGGTCACCTCCCTGCTGTGACGGTGGTGTCCCCCAAGGGGTGAGCATCCCTTGTTCAGGCTAACGAGGGAGGCTGGCGCAGGGCGGGTGGTGATGCTCCTGCAGTGGAGGAACCGCTCCAGACCCAGGCATCTCGTCAGCTCCAGGTCGTGCCAGCGCTTCCCAAATGAACCCTTTCTGGCATTCCATGATTTTCCCCTCTAACCCTCAGAGGAGTTGGAAGATGCTGTAAGGCTCTTTGCTTTCCAACTTCCACTGTGACATTAGCCCAGCTGGTGGAATACCCTTGTAAAACGGGGTCCGGTATCTCGTGGATGCCCTGCCTGTGCCACGAGCACGTGATGGCAGGGAGCAACCTCCCTTCATCTCAGCAGCAGCCTTGGCACGGCTGCAGGTTGTCTTGTCTCCCTTCAGTCTTTTCTCCAGATCAGGCCACCCGTTTTTCAGCCTCTTTGCACAGTGCTAGAGGTCTTCTTCCATCATCCTCCCCTGGGCTCCTTCCAGCTGATCCCCACCTTCCCGGAGCCTGGGAACGGCTGCTCTTCCCTTGCCTTTGCAGCCCGGCTCTGCCGGCGGCACCAGCCCCTGCCTGCTCCATCGCTCCTCTGCCAGTTCTTCCAGGTCCCCTCCTTGTGCAGCTGGCTCTCCCCGAACTCCAGCCCTTGCCTTTGTTTTGATGTAATTCCATCCTGGCTTTTTGGACCTTTCCTCCAGTTCTTTTGGAATTTTAATCCTGCTCTCAAATGTATCTGCAGATCCTCCCAGCCTGCTAACATATGGGGATTTAATCATCATACCATCTACTCCGTCATTCAGCTCATTAACGAACGGGCTGAAATAGGCAGACGCAACGCAGGCCCCTGTGCATTTTTACTGCAGAGTGTGGTTTATTGCATATCCCTGCAAAGCCAGAGGGAAACTCATGCCAATTTTTGCTGGCTCGGTAATGTGTTTTGGCCAATTGAAGAGACCAGTAGGATGATTGTAAAATATTTAATGAAGAAATAGATTTTGAACATAGCACTGGAAAGCTGACAGCAAATCTAAATCACCCCCCGTACCAGGACAGAGACCTCTCCTGTAAAAGCTGAGGCGAAACACAAAGTGCCTCGAGCAGATCAGAGGGCGAGGAGGGTTGGGGGCAGTTTTGGGGTGACATGCGGGGCCCCCTGTGCTGGTGCCTGAGTAGGGAGCTGGTGAACTAGTCGAGAGGAGCACCAGTATCATGCACGTAGCTCTTGCAGGAGCCCAGTGCTTAAGCCTGAGCTTTCCCCAGTAAAGACATCATTGTTTCCGTTTTTAAAGAAAATGCCCTTTTTAAGTGTTTTCCACCAGCAGGTAAAGCAAATACCTCTGGAGATGCCATGCAGTGCCCTCTCTGTATGCCTGAAACAGGCTGCAGCATGATACTGTGTCCAGCTGCCTAATCCACGCTTAGTTCATCCCAGCTCAGCCCTGCATCGCCCACAACCATCCTTTCCTCCCCGCCGGGCTGGGAGAGGCAGGATGCTCCCACTGTTGTGAACTTGGGAACAGAGACTTTCCAGCCCCTGGGCTGCTGAAAGCAACCTGGTTACTGATTTTTTCCAATAGGGAAACTACTTATAAAAATATATATACGTGGTATTTTAAGGGGCTGTCTCCAGCCAGGCAAGCTGTTTGCAGGTGTCCAGCATGGACCTCCCTGGGGTGAGATGGGAAAGGGAGGAAGGGGTGCCAGTTCTGGTGGGCATCGCCCCATGGCACTGCTGGCTCCCCAAAGCAGGAGGGCTCTCGTGCTGCTGGCCCTTGTTTCTGTGTTGCTGGTTTGGGTTAAAAAGGAATCTTGTTTCAAGTTAATTTAGACCTGTTCCCAATCACAACAAGCCGAAGTAATCTAATCTGCTGAGAAACCCTCGCCTGAGACTTTGCTTTGCTGGAAACAAGTTTGTTTAAATCAACACTGAAGGCTAAACTAGTGACGATTTCTTGTGTGTTTGTGAAGCATCGTAGCAAAAGCACTCGGAGCGGAGAGAGGCGGCCAGGAATGTCCCTCGCGGCTCCGGCAGCCTGGCTGCCTGCCACCGACCGCCTTGATGGCTCAGTTTTAATATCTCTTTTCTAAAGACGTCCTGTCTAGCACAGTTTGAGCACTGTTTGTAGCGGCAAATATGAGAGTGAGTGTGTTTTGCTGCTGACAATCTACTTTATTTCTATTAGCAGGCCATTGGCACAGGGGTTGCGGTGTCCGCAGGGACGTTTCTGAGGTCAGCTGATGTACGAACGCAGGGACAGCATCTGTTTCTCAGCAATGAAATGTTTGTTCAATGAAACCCTTCACCCTGAATAGCGAAAGCGGGGTACTGACTGCGGACTGAGCTGATGACCTGTTCACAAAGCAAAAATCCAGGCAATTATTCCCAAGGAAAATGGCATTTCTGGTTTTCTGTCAGGGGGACAGGGGCATCTCAGAAGGGGAAAGGGGGAGTGTGCAAGGCACCGGCCCGGCAGCTACATGGAGAAGCTGCTGCTGCCTTTGCCCCTTCGCCTTCCCCATGACCCACCGTGCCCGAGGACCGCGGGGCGATTGCTCTGGGAGCGGGCACTCACCCCAAAAGGCAGGTACCCGCCCGTGCCTGTCCGCACCCTGCAGCGGCTCCAGGGTTGATTGGAGAGTCGGGGTCATAGCAGCTAGAAGTGCTAATTGCTTCTCATGGCTGTGGGACATTAACGAGATGTTCGGTTCCTCCGTTAGCAGCTGCTGGAGCGTTGTACGGGTGTGCTGGGCTGGTGGTGATGCCGCTCTGACCTCTCTCTTTCAGCCGGGGCTGGGGGCTGTGCCTGGATGACCCCCCTGCCCAGGAGGTGCTGGACTACCCCTTGGTGCCCCCGGGCGTCCTCTACGACGTGAGCCACCAGTGCCGGCTGCAGTACGGCGCCTACTCCACCTTCTGCGACGACATGGACGTAAGCCAGGGTCCCCCCGATGTAACATGGGCTTGTGCAGCTCTAGGGGCTCTCTTGGGGTGGGAGGCTTTGCACGGGGTGATCCTCTCCCTGCAAGTTACATTTGTGCCGATGGGTTGGCCGGTGCAGTAACCGCGTCCTGCACAACCATGTTTTCTGCAGAGCGTCTGCAACACACTGTGGTGCACGGTGGGGAACACCTGCCACTCCAAGCTGGATGCTGCCGTTGACGGCACAGCCTGCGGGGAGAACAAGGTAAGGGGGAGCAGTCCCCTCCGCGGCTGCAGGGCCTCCTTGTCCTGCACACGGGAATTTTGCAGGCTCTGGCACATGGGGACAGGCTCACCTCGCTGCCCTTGCTCTGCCCAAACACCCACTGCTGCTGGGGAGCGACTGCCTTCAGTGCAGCTGAAAATGCCTTAAGAAGGTGAAACCCGCAGTTAATTACCGTGGCAGGAGAGCACAAGGCTTGTTCTGCTCTCCACCTGCTGCGGTGGCGGATGCTCATCTCCAGGACCTGACCCCCATGGAGGAGGCACCTCTCCCCGCTCTGGGGCATGGAGGGTCTGGCAGCGCCCGCGGCAGCTCGACGGGTGCTGCACCGGGCATGAGGTGCGGAGGGGACCGGCTGTCTGCAGCCAGCTCCGGTCACCCTTGATGCTGGCTCCTGTAGCGCAGCAGCGCTGGAGCGGAGCCATCACGCATTGCTCTTCCAGAACAGGGTTTTTCTGCCCAATAAAGCTATAGAGTTACAAAAATATCTGCAGATGTCTCTCCTCGTTAGGTTCAGTGTCCCCTCCTGAAGCCCTGGCCGCACAGCACCAGGGATGACCCTGGGCTTAGCGCCCGCT